TAGCGAGTGGGAGCCCCGAGCGGAGCCTGGGGGCCCGGCTGGGAGCCGCAGGAAGTCTCACAGCTGCCGAGGGGTGCGTGCCGACGGGGCGGCCTGGGCGCAGGTGCCGGGCATCCGGACCTGGCCAGGACCCTTCCTTTCCTAGCTGTTTCCTCATCGGAAAAAAGGGCCAGGTGTGTGACTAGGAATTTATTAAAATAAGTGACCCACGTTCTTATTTGCAGCAACTAATTCTCTAATTAAACACTTAACTCTCTCACACACACACACACAAACTTTTTGTAGACAGGAAGCTTCAACAAAAGTTAAATTAATTGTGAACTTTCCTGAAATATTCACATTTGAAATAATGGGTTGCCCGGGATGTTTTTCAAAATAAACCAGTTAGAGGGGGGATATGGGTGGGAGTAGAGATGAAACAAGATTGGCCATGTGATTAAAGTTGATGTAATATTTTTTTCTACTTTTGTATGTTTGCAATTTGGCATTACAATTTTGGTTTAATCCTTACACAAGGATATGCTGTTTTTAAATTGATTTTAGAGAGAGAGGGACATCGATGTGAGAGAGAACCATCAATCAGTTGCCTCTGTCCCTGCCCTGACCTGGGCATGTGCCCTGATTGAAAATCAAACTGGCAACCTTTAGGTGTAGGGATGACTGTAACCGCGCCTCCCAGCCAAGGCTAAGATTTTTCCTAAAACGAAGTCTGTGAACACCTGACCACCTGTGCTCAGATACTGTGCCTGAATCACTAGTCTGCCGGAGCTGTCATGACAAGAACTGGATGGCAGAGACTTATTTCTCTAATGATTCTAGAGGCTGGAAGTCCAAGGTCGAGGTGTCGGCAGAGCTGGTTGCCTCTGAGGCTTCTCTCCTTAGCTTGTGGGTGATGGCTTTCTGGCTTGTCAGCTCTCAGGATCTTCCCTCTGTGTCTGTGTCCTAATCTGTTCTCGTGAGGACGTCATACTGGATTAGGGCCCACCCTAATGACCTCATTTTAACTTAACTACCTCTTTAGAGGCCCCGTCTCTACAAATACAGTCACATTCTGAGGTACTGGGGTTAAGACTTAAGTACCGTATTTGCCGGCGTATAAGACGATTTTTTGGCCCTGTAAAATATGCCTCCAAGTGGGGGGTCGTCTTATACGCCAGGTACACTT